CACAGCCATACGTGCCTTAAGGGAATCCAGGCTGCCCTTTGCAAAGATGGCAGTTGCAACTTCCTTGCCCTAAATGAAGCCACAGCCACCATCTTTGTAAAGGGCAACCAGTCTTCCTTTTTAGGCCTGATGGAGACCTGGGCAGCAGCTATTAAGGTAAGGGTGTGTTGGTGGGAGTGGGGTACGGGCTAAGGTAGGGAAAAGAAGGGGGTGTTGGGGGGTGGCTGCCTATTGGCTGCTGATCAGCAGCCGGTAGGCAGAATGGGCTTCAGCGTGGTGTGGTAAACTCTCCTGGGGGGACCCAATTTGTGGGTGAATAATTCGGATGTCCGACATCCAGTCTTCACCAAAGTTGGCAGGCATGTTGGGGAAAGACATAGGAAGTTCCGTTGTGATTCTGGATTCTCTTAAGTATTTGGGGGAGCTTTCCTGGGGTTCCTCTTTGTGACTATGTAACTCGGGGGTCTGTGATCCAGTGTTCACCAAACCTTCAGGAGTTGTAGAAAAGCATCTGAGGAAGCTTCCCTGTAAATCCAGTGTCTCTGGGTTGCCGGGAGCCAGTGTTATAGCAGTTTAAAGTACAGACGAATCGATAGATCAATTCGTTGAAGAATATTTGTGTATTTGTTGCTCTGTTAATCTTGATGAATCAAGGATCAAAACGTTGATGAATAAAGGATCAAAACGAATCGCCTTTTTTTAATTTGTCCCCATCTCTATACATGATTCACAGTCCTTTTCTTATGTGTGCTGACTAGGGCACAACTTTTGTGCATCAGTACCATGAATTAGAATCAACTATACTTCCATCTGCTGACGTGCTAAAAAAGTTTTCTGTACCTTTAGAATACTAATGGCTCTTGTGTTCTATTAAGAGAAGGAAGATATTGCTAAGTAGTAGAAATCTATCAGCCAGCCAGTTAATGTAGTGTAGAGTTCAGATTTTGTGGTTGGCATGTAAACAATCTCTGTTCTCTAAAATGTGATTTTGCTGCTTAGCCTTAGATGCTTGAAGCTTTTTCTTCAGCTCTGATTTAGTCACTCTAAAGTAAGAGCACAGGCCAAAAAACAATGGAGTCTATTGATAAAGATCTGTGTTTCTCCTCAGTTACTCCCTTTTTATCAGTTAGAATTTTGTGACATTTCTTTAAATAAGTTTTTGTGATCATTCTTTCCTTGTTGCTTGCAGAGAGTGCTGTGGGGCCCTGGAGTACTATGACAAAGCCTTTGATCGCATCACCACAAGAAATGAAAAGAATCTTCGTAGTATCAAACGGATCTTCCATACTGTAACTACTACAGATGATCCAGTTATCCGCAAGGTATAATCTGTTCCTTTAACTTGGTTTATGAACTAGTTACCTGTTGTTGCAAAAAAAAATTGTTTGTTTCTTTGTTTTAAAAAGAATATCTCAGAGCATTGTACTACAAAGAGCAGGAAAGGTATACGCATAACAGTGCATACTAGACTGGTCAATGCAGTAATGTTTTCATAAATGCCCCTTCATAAGCCTGAGAGTAAACTTAGTGACAGACCCAACAAAGGGGAGACTCTATGTCCTGCTGACTGTACAGGAGGCATCAAATGATGTAAGTAAGTTGGGTTCAGATTGTAAGCTCCATCTTGTTGTAAAAATACAAATTCAATTTTACTTTGGCGGGAACCAACTCCTTTGAGTGCCTGGAGAAAGAGAGAATTTAAACAACCTGACACAAGAATAATTTGGATTTTATAGAAAGATAACAGTTTCTTCAGAAAGGAGGTGACAGGAGCATTTAGGTAGCTCAGATCATGTCATCCCAACAATACAAAAGAAGAGGTTTACCTTTATAGGGCGCAAACCATAATAAGCTCAAGAAACAGGATCGGATAGGTTCCCTTTGTCAAGGAATCATAGAAAAATGATGTTGGAAAGGATCTATAAGGCCATCGAGCCCAACCCCTGTTCAATGCAGAAACACAAACCAAAAGGATATCTGCCAGGTGGTTGTCTAAATTTCTCTTGAATGCCTCCAGTGCTGGAACATTCACTCCCTCTTGAGGTAATAGACCAAAATCTGGCTTCTTGTAACTTGAGCCCACCAATCCCATTCTCGACTTACTTTAGCTAATAACATGTGATGGACAGAGACACATATACAGTATGTATGGAAACATTAAAGAAATATTTAATGATGTTTACTTAATATTTAATAAAATATTAAAGGAACATTTTGTGCAAAGATGGACATGATAAAGGACAAAAATGGTGGGGACCTAACAGAAGCAAAAGACATCAAGAAGAGGTGGCAAGAATA